GGAGAATTGATCCTACAGAACCAAGAGAAAGAAACTGCCAATGAAAATGAAAAGAGCTGTAACACTAAGGGAGCTCCTTGGAGGGCAGTCGCCATCAGGAACAGACCATGGACAAGGGATCTGGAAATGCTCCAACCAAGCAGTCACTTCCTACATCTTCCTGAGGATAACGGTAATGAAAAGGCATAAACAGGAGACCAGCAGCAAAAGCCATTGCAAGCCAAGGAAGGAGCCAACCTAACCACCAACTGGAGTAAAAAGAAAAGAAAGGTGTTGATCGTAGGGGCTTCATTGCTCAGGGGTAGAGAGGGAACTGCCTACCAGCCGACAAGATGAACTGGAAAGTGTGCTATCTTCTTGGTACACATATTCAGGATATCACTAACAATTTGCTGAAGATCATCAAGAAGACAGAGCAATACCCTCTCTTCTGATTAATGTGGTTGCCAATAACACTGCAGAGAATACCTTTGAGTGGATCACCTGGACTATATATCACCTGGGCAGGAAAGTGAAGAGCTGAGAAGCACAGATAGTGTACTTGTACATTCTACCACACAGGGACAGGAAGATCCTTCAGGTGAATGATTGGCTATGCAAATGGTGTTGATGGGAGAGGTTTGATTTCTAGGACCATCATCGGATCTTATTGTATTACCTTTTTACTCAGAATCAGCCTTCCAGGATGCAGCCAGGATGCGGCATGAAGGTGGAAATTATTGCATTGTAATTCTCCACTGAATTGCTGGACAACTGCAGCCTGGGTCCCAGCCATACTCAGCCAGCTACCATTAAACCTTGGGAGCTTTTCATTTTTGAAAAAGGGCCAGCTGAGCATGGCTGGGACCCAGGCTGCAGTTGCCTGGCAATTCAGCAGCAAATTACAATAATTCCCGCCTCCATGCCACATCCCGGCTGCATCCCAGAAGGCTGATTTCAAGTTTAAATGCGATAAGCTCCATCTTTACTCCTTAGATGAAGGGCTAATGGCTTCATATGGGCTACACCTCAGGAAGGCCAGGAAGAATGTCTTTGGCAAAAGCATAGTGAGTCTGATCAAAAGGCTTTAAATTAAATCCTTGGGCGTTGGAGATGATAACTTAAAATTCCAAAAGCAAGCTTTAAATACAAGGATGTGAATTCTAGATGAGAAGCTGAGGGAGAGAATGGGACCCACTGTAAAACTGACAGCAGAATAAAAGAGAACAAACAATGCTTTAGATGACTATACATCAATTCATAGAGCTTGAGAAGCAACCAAGATGAGCTTGAAGTGCAGAAAAGTAAATATAATTTCATAGGTATAACAGAGACTTGGTGGGATGACTTCCATGACTGGAGTATAACAATTGAAGGATATAATATATTCAAAGGAATAAATGAGGAAAAAGGGAGGGAGTAGCATTATATGGATATTATTGCATGCCTTAAATAATACCTCTCCCGAATTTAACTCTAATTCGTGTTGCAGCCATGTTTTATCGCACGTCTTTTGCAGCAGAATTTGACTTCAGAGTAGATCTCCACTCCAATGCGAATTGGGAAATGGTCTCTGGCAGCCATTTTTCCAAGTTGGAACCTTCTGACTTGGAAAAATGGCCGCTGGAGTGCATTTTTGAATGCACATTGGAGCAGGGATCTACTCTGAATTCGGATTCCATTGCAAAACCTGTGCAATAAAACATGGGTGCTGTGTGAATTAGAGTTAAATTCAGGAGACTTAGTAGTATTAATTAAGGCATGCGATAATCTCCTATGTCAAATTGACATGTATATAATCCACACAAGTGATCAAACTGGATCAGTGGGGAGCATCTGGGTAAAAATAAAAGGAGAAAGAAATAAAATCACAGTGGTAGGAGTTTATGACAGGCTATCAAACCAAGACAAGGTGGTAGATGATGCCTTTCTGAAACTAATCTCGGAAATCCCCAAGAAGCAGGAATTGAGTTATGAGAAACTTCAGTTTTCCTGATATCTGCTGAGAGACTAGCTCTGCTAAACATAGGTTCTTCAACAAATTTCTTGATGTGCCTTGCAGTTACTGGTAATTTTTTCTTTCAAAAGGTGGGACAAGGGTAACAAGGGGATCAGAAACCTTGGAGTTGATCCTAATCAAAAGGAAAGGGGGAGGTCACTGGAAACAAGCCAATTGGGACTTTGGGGGGAGTAACTATGTAATTCTAGAATTCATAATTGTGAGACAGGCCAAACAAGAGTAGAGTCAAACATGGACCTTGCATTTCAGGAAACCTGATTTTATCAAGCTCAGGGAAATAGTGGCCAGAATCCCACAGCCAGAGCTACTAAAGGAAAATGATACCCAACGTAGGTGGGAATTTATGAAGAAAGAACTGCTAAAAGCACAATTACAAACAATCCATGAAAAAATAAAAATGGGAAACATCTGAAAAAGTCAATGGGGCTGCAGAGTAAACTCGAGTGAAAAAGAAAAAAGAGCATGCATAAAGAGCGGAAAGAAGGACAAATCACCAAGGAAGAATATGGATGTGCAGGAATATTGTAAGGAAAACTAAGGCTAAAAATGAGCCAAGGCTGGCTAGCCAAGCAAGGAGCGACAAAAATGGGGTTTTCAACTATGTTAGAATTTTAAAAATTATTAAAGAAATCATGGGAAAGGCAGCCATGAAAGAACTGGACATGGTCCTAAACTGTAAAGAATACAAATAAGCACTAAATTTAAAATCATCCAAGCCAGTGTATTCCCCATCACCTTGTACGGATGTGAGAGCTGGACAGTGAAGAAAGTTGATAGAAAGGAAATCAATGCATTTGAGAGAATGTGGTACTGGAGAAGAGTGCTGAGGATCCCATGGATGGCCAAAAGACAAAGAAATGGGCCCTTGAACAGACCAAGCCTGAACTCTCCCTGGAAGCCAAGATGATTAAACTGGGGCCAACATCATAAGAAGGGATGAATCATTGGAAAAGACAATAATGCCAGGAAAGGCTGTGGGTAACAGAAGGAGAGGAAGATCTCATGCCAGATGCATAGACTCAATTAGGGAGGTCATGGTTCTCAGTCTGCAGGACCTAAGCAGAGCAGGGGAGGATAAGCATCTTGGAGATGTCTCATCCACAGGGTCACCATGAGTCAAGGTCAACTCAAAGGCAGTTAACAACAACATTTTCTATCAGTTCCTGGTACAATCAGAGACTTTTTATGCCAGCTCTCCAAGGTCTGTTTATCTTAACCCCACGTAAAATTGGAAAGAGCAGGAGCAAAACCAGGGACTTTTCAACCAGTATGACTACACCCAATGTTTGGTTTCTGCTTATTGAATTTGTTAATAATTTTATCAGAAATGTGCTTTTCCATCAGGGTCACATGCTCATTTATGGAGGGATACAATATTTATGTATTTATGGAGGGGCTGGAGATGTCTCATCCATAGGGTCACCATGTGTGGAGATTAAGGTGAAGGCAGTTAACAACAACAAACAATTTCCAGAAGGAATCCAGGGGTCATATCTGGAATTTCTCAACAAATGAGAAATGTTCGTATTGTTACACTTTTAAATAATTTTGGAAAATATGTAAAATAAAACTCTCCAGAAAGCCTCAGATAACCAAAGGGCAACCCACAATGTCTGGGAGGAGGGGGACCATAACACAGCACAGCCATTAATTATGATAGCTCTGTTTAAGTTGAAGGTGGCATATTGAGGATGGAGCCAGCTTGTTTTCTGCTGCTCCAGAGAATAGGACACAGAGCAAAGGATTCAAACTACAGTAAAAGAGATTCCACCTCAATATTAGGAAGAACTTCCTGACAGTCAGAGCTGTTTGACAGTGGAACACACTCCCTCAAAGAGTGATGGAGTCTCTTTCTTTGGAGGTTTTTTGAACAGAGGCTCTATTGCCATCTGTCACAGGGAGTGCTTTGATTGTGTGTTCCTGCAAATGAAAACACAGGTAATAACCACTTCTGCTGCATGGCTTCCATTGACATCAGGAAAAGAGAAAAGACCAGGAAAACCCCCACATAACAGAAATCTCAGGCTCAGACTACTTCACACAATCATTGCTTTCTCAAGAGGTTAAAAGCATCCTGTTGCTATAGCATGTGCTTTTCCTCACCTGCATTTTGTTGTTGTTGTGTGCCTTTAAGTCATTTCCAATTTATGGCAGCCCTAAGGCGTATGAATTAAGAATGAGGAGGGTGGCTATGAAAGAACTAGAAAAGAATCTAAAATGCAAAGATATACAACTCAGCACAAGCCATTGTATTTCCTGTTATCATGTATGGATGTGAGAGCTCGACAGTTAGTAGAGATGATAGGAAGAAAACCAGTACATTTGAGATAATGTGGCACTGGAGAAGAGTGTTGAGGATCCCATGGACAACCAAAAGGACAAATAAATGGGTCCGAGAGCAGATCAAGCCAGAAACCTCCCTGGAATATAATAGGCCTTTGCAGACTGCCAGAAATAGTGCACATTAAATTGAGGCACTGCCCTGGCTCAGTGCTAGGGAGTCATGGGAATTGTATTTTTTTCTGGGACATTGAGCCTTCTCCGTCAGAGAGCTCTGGTGCCACAATAAATTACAGTTCCCATGATTCCCTAGCACTGAGCCAGGGCAGTGCCTCAATTTAATGTGCACTATTTCTGGCAGTCTGCAAAGGCCCTAAGATGACCAAACTGAGGCTGTCATACTTCAGACGCATCATGAGAAGAAAGGAGTCCTTGGAAAAGACAATAATGCTGGGAAAGTTGGAGGGAAGTAGGAAGAGAGGAAGGCCACATGCCAGATGGATGGACTCTATGAAGGAGGTCACTATGGGGTTGCAGGAATTAAGCAGAGCTGGGGAGGTCAGAAGGTCTTGGAGATATCTCATCCATAGGGCTTCTATGAGTCGAGATTGACTCGAGGGCAGTTAACAACAAAGGCAAGTCTATCACAGGTTTTTATTGGTAGGATTTATTCAGAAGAGGTTTGCCTTTGTATGAAACTGAGAGTGTGTGATTTGTCCAAGGTCTGAGGAGGGATTCGAATCCTGGTCTCGGGAGTCATGGTCCAACATTCAAATCACTACACCACATTGACTTTCCATCTGCATTGGCAATGCTTTATTTGTACTTGGTCACTGGAAAGTAAACATGAGGTTATGTTTCAAGTCTAACTGCTGAGGCATGCATCTCCTATCACAAGAGAGAATACGTGTTAATTGCAAGGAATACATATTCCATAGGAAATATTCGTTCTCTTCATCAGAGGAGGTCAACAAGATGCAAGAATAAATAGAAGATATTGAGACTCCACAAGGATTGCAAATGGCCTTGGATGTCTTGGACAGCTAAGTTATTTCCATGTAGAAACTGGTTTTTTTTCCAAACCAAACCTTTCAGTTGTAGTGAAATAAATACACCACCATCCTTGGCTTTTTCAGGGTCAGCACAGAGGCTGAGGGAGAAATTGCTCCATTTCATATTAATTTAATCTTCCTCAGACTACCCTTACGTTCTGTTCTGCAAAATCTTTCTCAGGAAAATTCACATTAGATTTCACAAAAGCAATTGAGTAGGAACATGAAGAATCCATCCCTTCAACTTTTGTAAATAAATGCCACCAGACAGTTTTCCAGAAAAAGGGGTAAATGTTGGGGTGGACAGGAAGGGTCTGTTACAATTGCACTATGTCTGCATCTACACTGCAGAATGAATGCAGTTTGACACTGTTTTGACTGCCATGGTTCAATGCTATGTCTCTGTCAGAGAGCTCTGATGCCACAACAAACTACAAATCCCAAGATTCCATGACAGTTAAAGTGGTGTCAAACTGCATTAATTCTGCAGTGTGGCAGCAGCCTGAGTGTATTGTATTTTCAAATGTCCAAAGCACAATCCTGGGAATGTTAAACTGTAGGAAGCCGCTCATCAAATTTTAAACTCCTATGAATAAACAATTTCTTACGATTTCTGCCTCATCACTGGCACAGACAATTCTCAACACAACATTTCCTACATGACCAATGTTCAGACTGCAGTCACAATTCAGTATTACCAGTCCACTGACAAAATTAATTCATGGTTAAAGTGCATTCCATGCTTACTATATAAAAGGAAATTCATGTTTAAAGATCCATCAATCATCTTGATTATAACTTTTAAAATAAAATTTGTGTGCTGTCTACTATGTGTGAAATTCAGTTGTTGATTATTACCAAGATGATGGTAAATCCTTTGTTAGATTTGGTCTACTCTTCCTTCTTTTCTTTGGTCTTTTCACAATAAATATTTCACAAATGGCAATGAGCACACTGAAGCATCAACAGCATGAAGGAGCAATTACCTAAATGGATAGTCAAGTGAATTGACTCAGACTTAAGTTGGACTCAAGTTGCTTCAATGACTTGACTTGGCCTTGGCTTAGCAAAAATTACACACTGACTTGACTTGAGGCATGTATATTTTTAATTGCTGACCTGTCGATTCACTTTGAGCAGCAGGAAAGACTTGCCCCCCAAGTGGGGGTGGGGGTGCATGTCTGGGAAGGGAACAGCAAATTCATTAGGCAATGGGGTTGAGGCGGAAGGATCCTTCTAAAGCTTTTGAAGCCTCCTCTGATGTGCAGCAGGGACAGGCTGCCATGCAAACCTCAACCCCTATCTGAAGCCCATTGCTTAATGTGATTGCTGTTCCCCTCCAAGAAATGTGCCCTGCCCCCTTTCCTTCTGTTAAAAGTTGGCTCTCAGACTTGACACTCAACTTGAGACTTGACTTGAAAGAAGCTTGCAAGAACTTGAGACTTGACTTGAAACTTGAAAGTAGGTACTTGAGACTTGACTTGAGATTTGGACTAAAAGACTTGAATACATCACTGCAAATGGACCTCTCAGGTTCTACCGATCCTAGTTCCCACGTTCTGCCTTCTCAGCAGTTGATAATTCTGTACATCTTTCAAGAATTTGGGAAATGATAACAAATTATAATGGACAGGATAAACTTGGCACAAGATTAGGCAGAGGCATGCGCATGACTCCGGGCGCCATTTTGGAACACCAAATGGTGCCCAGCGTCCGGCAATTCTGAATGCATGCACACGACTCGGGCACCATTTTGGAATACAAAATGATGCCCGAGTAGTGCACATGTGTGCATGCTCATGCGCACCTCCGGCCCCCCGAAGATCTGGGGGCCAGCGAACCAGCCCACAGATCAAAAAGTGTGGGGATCCCTGGGCTGGCTTATTGCTCCTTCCCCAGCCAAAGCTTCCCCTGTCCCGAGAGAGACCCTTCTCTTTGCTCCAGCACCAGCAGAGCTACTCTGTGGGCAATTGCATTTGCGGTTATGTGACTTCAAGTCTACTCAAAGAGTTTATTTGGTAAGATTTATTCAGCAGGGCTTGACCTTGCCTTCCTCTGCAGCCAAGAGAGTTTAGCTTGTCTAAGGTCATCCAGTGGTTTTTCATGGGTGAGGAGGGTCCAGACCCTGGTCACCCTGAGACCTAGTCCAATAGCCAAACCTTGATATACATAGTACACATGACAGGCATTCATCAGTGAACAAAAAACAACAAAATTCACAAACAAAAGCAAAGCTATGCAGTGGTGTTGCTTCTATTTAAATCCTAGATTTCAGTTCTACACTTTAGCTCCTTTATGTGTTGGGATGCCCTCCCAAATCTCTGGTTTGCACTTGGGATCTTTCTGTTTATCCACCTCAAATCTATGCAACGGATTCATGTTGTGGAGCAGATTCATTGACTCCCTACCCTGTCCTCCATTGGTCTTGCTGGGCACCGATCATTACTGTTGTTGTTGTTGTTGTTGTTGTTGTGTGGCTTCAAGTCATTTCCAACTCATGGCAACCCCATCACAGGATTTTCTTGGCAAGTTTCTTCAGAGCGGCCATCCTCTAAGGAGGAGAGAATGTGAGTTGTCTAAGGTCATCCAGTGGGTTTCCATGACCGCACGGGGATTTGAACCCTGGCCTCTAGAAACATTGCCCAGCACTCAGTCCCATACACCACACTGGCTCATCCCTACTGTAGGCTGTATTATTAACAAGTATGCCTGTACTGAGTTTGGCAATGATGATTTTAACTAGTTAATAATGTTGTATATGAGTTGCACACCTGGATTTGGCCACAAATGCTTGCATGGAGGGATCATTAATCAGATATTCTGTGCTATTTTCCAAAATGAGCTTATGGCTAAAACAATCCCCCATTGACTGCTGGGGGAATGAGCATATTAAGCTCATAGAATAAGGCCCAACAGAGCTGAGTAGATGCAGTTTGGACTGCCAAAGATATTATATATATATATATATATATATATATATATATATATATATATATATATATATATATATATATATATTCATGTTCACATGTAAATATGCATCTACAGTCAGCCCCTGCCCACATCCACAGGTTCTTTATGCATAGATTCAACCGTCTACAGCTTGCAAATATTTCAAACATATATAAATTCCCAAAAGCAAAGCTTGATTTTGCCATTTTGTATTTTCACTGTGCCACTGTATTTAATGAGACTTGAGCATCTGCAAATTTTGGTATCCACAGAGAGTCCTGAAACCAAACCCCAGCAGATATCAAAGGTCCATTGTATGTGTTGTTGTTGCTGCTTTTAATCTATCTGTGATTTGAGTCCAGTCCCTTTCAGTGCTAGCAGAAAAGCCCTTTCAGAAAAGCAGAAAAGCAGAAAAGAAAAGATCTAGAACATGGCCACACAGCACGAAAAACCCACAAAAAACTAGCAGAAAAGCTTTCCATATCACAAAATCTTTCCTTCCGGGGCCAGATACCAGCCTGTCATGCTTCACATTTCACTTGACCTGGTGGGAAGGCACTTTCTATGGTGCTGTTGCTGACAAACATTAGGTATATGTGAGTAGAGGGCAAGATTGGACCAAAATACATAACAACTACTGTGTGGAGATATGCCTTCAAGTCTCCTGTGGACTTATGGTGACCCCATGAGTTTCATAAGGTTTTTAAAGACAAGGAATACTCAGAGTTGGTTTTGCCAGTTCCTTCCTCTGAAATATAGCCCGTGGCACCTGGTATTCCTTGGCAGTCTCCCATCCAAGGACTAACCAGCGTTGACTGTGACTATGGACCTTATCACACGCTGGCCATGAAGCGAAAAGTAACCAAAATAAGAATAAATTCAGTTCTATACCGAAATGAACTGAAATGCTTCACAATACGTATTGCGTGATCATATGTATTTCGCCTGCGCGGCCATTGCGCAATAATTCCGAAAGCTCGCTTGTACTTCCCTGAAAAACCGAATGTCAAAAGATCTCAATTCATTACGGATTAGCTCCGGGTTCTGTCGATTTTCGTTGCAACGTCGTGTGTAAACACGGGGAACTAATACGGATTAGCTTCGGGTTCTGTCGAGTTTTGGTGGAACGTCGTGTGTAAACACGAGGAACTAATACGGATTAGCTATGGATATCCTTTGGATTAGGTCTGCTTTAGAACCCGTGTGATAAGGTCCTAAGTGCCAACTTAGTGATGCTGTTGAGGGATGTCTTTTAATGCATCACTAAATTGGCACATAGTCACAGTTTTTGAAAATATATAATAGCAACACAGTAAAAGAATATAAAGATACAATCATCTCCCTTGGGGACTACTTCAGAGTAGATTTTTGTTCATTATCTTTCTTGTACCCTACCAGCTTCACCTCACTACACTCACAATCATTCGAAACTATTCACTTGAGCTACACACCAGATTTCTGCAAAAGATTATAATATAGAGGTAGGGACTGAAATGACACCAAGAAAACCATAGTAAAGCTACCAAGGGGAGTATGTGGGGAAAGACCTCTTGGCAATCAGAGTGGGCATAATGGCTTCTGGGAGGAAATAGTCCCTGCAGCATTAGTTTAATGCTTCCTAAAGTTGTCATATTTCTTTTAACTGTAATCACAGAGCCCAGGGGATTCCAACAATTAAATTGAAAAGAAAGAAAAAGCATTTCCACAAATATCATGGGAAGAAATCAGAGTGAATGGCTTCTAGTGCAATTCCTCATGTGTTATCAAAGCAAGATAAATGTTTGCAAAC